GTAATGGACGGTGGCGCTAAGGAACAGGCACAAAATCAACTGAAGCAATTTATGGCTTCTAAAGGACCACGTATGGCGGTAGTTCCAATTTTAATTATATCCTATGAAACATTTAGAATTAATAGTGAAATATTGAATAATTCTGAAGTTGGTCTTGTGCTGTGTGATGAGGTAATTCCACTTAAATCATTTACCATTTCAAAATTAAACTGAATAATTTTGTGTAGAAAATGATAATAGTTGTAAATTTAAATAATTAAGTAATATTAAACCCATTTTTGTTATGTTTTATTACATTTATAGGGTCATCGACTTAAAAACAGTGAAAATCAAACATACACTGCTTTAATGGGTCTACAATGTAAAAGACGTGTTTTGTTATCTGGTACACCAATTCAAAATGATCTTTTAGAATATTTTAGTCTTGTTCACTTTGTTAATGCTGGATATTTAGGATCAGCACAGGTAATCATTAATATGATGTATTTTAATATTCCATTTCTAACGACATAATATAACTTATGTTATACTTTTTATAGGATTTTAAAAAGAAGTTTGAAAATCCTATACTTCGAGGCCAAGACTCATTGTCCACACCATCTGAAAGATTGAAGGCAGCAGAATGTCTGACTATGTTAACACAAATGGTTAACCAATGTTTAATTCGTAGAACAAGTCAACTTTTAACAAAATATTTGCCGGTGAAATTTGAACATGTCATATGTGTAAATATGACTCCTTTGCAGACTGCTCTTTATAAAAGTTTCTTAAGTTCGGAGAAAGTGAAACAAACCATGACTTGTGAGTATCAATGAGACTAGAAATTGTATTTATATTATTTCAGCAACATTTCAATATTGAACGGGATCAATGTAATTTTAGATGACAAAGAAGTCAAACCTACTATAACAGCTTTAGCAAATATAACGTTTTTGAAAAAACTTTGTAACCACCCAGATTTAATTTATGATAAAATTGTTGAAAGAGCAGATGGGTTTGAAAATGCATATAAATTACTTCCAGCAAACTATAATAGACAGTAAGTGATTTTTATATGTTCAAAATAAAATTTACAAGCTATATTAGCTATGAATATTTTAGTGAAATTATGCCAGAACTGTCTGGAAAGTTGATGCTTTTAGATTGTATGCTAGCTAATATCAAAACAAACACAGATGACAAAATCGTCCTCATATCAAACTATACTCAGACACTTGATCTCTTTGAAAAATTATGTAAGAAGAGGTAAACAACAAAGTCTATATGTATCTGATTCATAATCAAGATGTTATTATATATGTATATATAAATATCTACAGGGGTCATGATTATGTGCGTTTGGATGGTACAATGTCTATAAAGAAAAGGGGGAAAATAGTGGAAAAATTTAATTTAAAAGAATCTAAGGAATTTATTTTTATGTTGAGTTCAAAAGCTGGTGGATGTGGTCTTAACCTAATTGGTGCAAATAGGTATCAATGTAGTCTCATTATCAGACCCCACACATTTATTAATCCTATTACGCATTTTCTAGATTAGTTATGTTCGATCCTGATTGGAATCCTGCTAATGATGAACAAGCTATGGCTCGAGTTTGGAGAGATGGTCAGAAAAAACCTTGCTTTCTTTATAGGATGTTAGCAGTAAGTGGAAATTTTGAAACTATCATATTGAAATATAATAAGCAATACATTATTATAATTTAAAAATTTTTTGAAGACTGGAACTATAGAAGAAAAAATTTTTCAACGACAAGCACATAAGAAAGCTTTATCAAATAGTGTTGTTGACAATGAAGAATGCTTAAGACATTTTTCAAGGGAAGATTTAAGAGATCTTTTTAAATTAGAGGAACAAACATTATCAGATACACATAATAAGTAATAAATTAGTATTTCTAATTGCTTTAAATTATTGTATTCATACATAATTGAATAATTTCAGATTTAAATGTAATCGATGTATAAATAATATACAAGTGAAGCTTCCCCCGGAAGACTCAGATTGCATGTCAGATTTATCTCAATGGTATCATTGTGCTGATAAGAAGGGGCTGGCAGATATGGTAAATATTTCTAATTCAGTTTTTTCAAATAACTTCTAATGTAATGCATTGTCAATATTGTTCTTATATAGCTATTAAATATGCTAGATAACTGTATATTGTTATTTCAGTTCATCATAAATAACCCTTTCATTATTATATTTACTGGGCTTTTAATTTCTCCTTCATAACTTTCATTCAAATATTCAAATTGTTATTACAGGTTCTAAAACAATGTTGGGATATGGCAAAATATATTTCATTTGTATTTCATCATCGTTCAAATCAAGTTGAAGCAAAACAAATAATTAAAGTAGAAACAAATGATGATATTAATGAAGATTCAGTTACAGAAGAAGAAAATATGAGTGAATAAATATGTAAATGTTGTAAAATGTATATAAAACAGTTCAATTACAAATTTTTATTTTAGTATTTAATTATATATCTTCAATCCCAGTGAATAAATGGTCAAGTAGAATTCTGATCAAAATGAGTTAACTGCCCTAATACGGATAGATGATGGTAGTTTTTATTAATCTTTGTTTTCATTGAGCATATATAGATATATCGAATACTCCATATATGCATAATTAAGTTAAACGAGGAGCAACTGTCAATACAGTTGACAATTAAGTATTCATGCTCAATGAATTGTAATCAATTCTCGTTACCCATTTAGACACCAGTATTTATATAGGTGATTACCTCTCTAATTCAAGTTACTCAGTTATGTATATTGAATGGTATCAAGTTAAATATTTGTTGAGCTGCTCGTACAGCATGCATTTAAACTAGCAAAAATCATACCATTTTCAGGTTTTTATTGTTTTACTCTAAATTTTTCAATAATAACATTTTCTTATATAAACATCATTAATAATTTATAATTATTTTCACTTATGTTATTCTCTTCAATAAATTAATCTGTTTTCACATTTGTTGATTTTAGTATACGAGCGCGCACTCCATTTGTTTACATTATAATAATACTCATCCTGTCTCTTCATCTCGATACTTAAGATTTGTTTAAAATATTTCTGTATGTTTCACATGTTTTAGTACTTTGTCAAGCTTTGCAAGTGATAGTTGGTGTTTTTTGCATTTTCAAAAATTAAATGTAATTTAAATAAAATATTAAAGAATGTGTAGTGTCACACCACATTTTTGTCAAAAGTCTTGTAAAACAGTTGAGTGGTGATTTTTGAAAATTTCAAACATTTCCATCTATATTGTTCTCAGACAATATACTGACTGATCAGTTTATTGTCTTTTGTCTGTTCTGACAGAAAAGCACCAGGAACAGTTTATTGTGAAACATGTCAAAATCAACCCGCCATGCAGGTTTTAGATATTGTTTTAAATGTTACCATTCTTATGAGATGATCAAAAATAAATTGATATTATTAAACTATGTCCTTCAATGACCACAAATTTTTATCAAATAAATTGCATAACATACACAATGAAATCAAGTTTAGAGTAGATTGTTTTGAAATCGGTGCCGTCCCGTAAGGGTTAATTTAGAAATATGAACAAACATCACTCTTTTTTGCACTAATTTATTGAATAATATTAATTTTACAAACGTTTTGTGTCTAGGTTTGTCTCATCATCAGTGTACTATAATTTAAAATCTAAAATATGAATGTAGCATTATATATATATATATATATATATATATATATATATATATATATATATAAATATATGAGGCAATAAATAAAAGAAACAGATTTATAAATTAATTTTAATTCCAAATGTTTTGACATAAAATTTAATGTCATCATCAGTGGATATTGAAATTGGGATCTTACATTTAAAGACTACACGTCATTAAAGTTACCACTAACATTGATACTCTAACCCGTCAATAATCAAAAAAAATTTTTTTTTATAAATAGAAACAAAAATGTAGAAAAAGTGAAGGTATTTTTGCAAACAAACTTATAGCTATAGTGTCCGAGGCCTATATATATATATATATATATATATATATATATAATAAAATTGTTTCTTGGGCATCCATCCAGTAATTAAAAAACAGTTTTAATGAAAAATGTTTTTATTTATAGAGAACATACGTTTCGGGTCTTGATTTGACCCATCTTCAGTGCATACAAATAAACTTTGAAAAACAACACAAAAACACAAAATTGCACGAAAAATAAATAAAAGTGAAATAAAAAATTGATGAAACGTCGAGTTATGAAAAATTTTTAAAAAAATTGTAAAATTAAAATGAATGATATATTTTATTATAAAAAAGCTTATTCCAAACGAACATGTTGTTAGTTTGGAAGTTGTATTACGAGATCAATCAAGTTTATATATATCTTCAATCCCAGTGAATAAATGGTCAAGTAGAATTCTGATCAAAATGAGTTAACTGCCCTAATACGGATGACTCGTAATACAACTTCCAAACTAACAACATGTTCGTTTGGAATAAGCTTTTTTATAATAAAATATATCATTCATTTTAATTTTACAATTTTTTTAAAAATTTTTCATAACTCGACGTTTCATCAATTTTTTATTTCACTTTTATTTATTTTTCGTGCAATTTTGTGTTTTTGTGTTGTTTTTCAAAGTTTATTTGTATGCACTGAAGATGGGTCAAATCAAGACCCGAAACGTATGTTCTCTATAAATAAAAACATTTTTCATTAAAACTGTTTTTTAATTACTGGATGGATGCCCAAGAAACAATTTTATTATATTATTTCACCATCTGAAGAAAAACCTCTCGCTTTATATATATATATATATATATATATATATATATATATATATATATATATATATATATATATATATATATATATTATAATGTATGTAATATAATGTAAATTGAGTACTATTAAAATTACTGAACTATATAATTTCTACTTATATTTTGAATCCATTTCAAGTATTATTTACAATTATCAAGCTCCATAAAACACATTTATACATAATATTGGCATAAAAATATGATAAAATGATTGGTAAAATATTTTAAAATAAAAATTAAAATTAAAATTTCTTAAAATTAATTTCTTATATTCATAACTATGTTTGAATTTTACTATGTCAAACTATGGGTTTCTAATACCAAGAGCTTGTTCCAGCTCAGCTCGTTTCTGTTGAACCTTAGTATAGAAGTACCGACTGACTGCCTCTGTGGTCCATGATTGATAATAAAATTCAGCTCTTCGTTCCTCCTCAGGGTTTCCAACAATGTCTGTCATTGTCTTAAGATTGAAACAAATATTTGTATAAACATTCAGAGGGTTATATAAATTTTTATACGAAATAACATTACATTTTGAAAACATTAGCTCAATTGCATAGTTACAATATATTACCTTGAGATCTCTGGTTTGACTCACTATCCATTTGTTAATAAACTGCTGTGGATCTTGAGAAAAACTTAAAAAGAACTCTCTGTTAGTTTTTAATTGATTAATAGTATCTACTGTTTCATGTATTTTTCCATCTAAACCTTGAATTTCCTGCTGGCTAGCAGTACTGCAATGTAAATAATACAAGTGTAAAAAAGATGCTTGAATAAATAAAATACACAATCAATTATAATTATGTAATATTAAATATTTTGTATGGTCATTTATTAGCACCATCATCATTTCATCAAATATACAATAAGATAGCGCGAAAAATTGGTGGCATCTGTATGAAGATGTATAAAATGCATTGACGCTTTTTCAAATGCAAGAAATTAGATTTAACTTTAAATTAATTATCTTTAAAAATTCCTCACAACATAAAAATAAACATTAAAGTACCTTAAAAGAAAATTATTCATTTGAGTTTTTAAAGTATCATCAACTTCAACATCAATATCATAACAAGCAGTTTGCTTGCTCTCAGCACCTCCTTCAACTGATATAACATGATTTATAACAATCGGATCTGGCGGATGCAAGAGTGGATTTAAACGCTGTGGAATTTCAGCAAACTTCATTTTTTGACATGCAAATATTTGTTCTAAATATTTATCACAAACAATATACCTAAATAAATATAAAAACATTAGTAATGGTGTTCTCTACACTTTCTCATGAAATATATATATATATATATATATATATATATATATATATATATACTTTTAGAAAAAAGAAATGTTCACTTTAATCACCTTAATTATTTTTTTAAAAGTTCTTAATATAATAAATTTATTAACTATAATTAAATACTCACTCCCTTTCATGAGAATCTTGCAATTTGTGCGTTTTTATATACTGCCATAATGCTGATATAATAACAGGACGCGTTTGAGTATGAACTCCTAATAATCGTGCTAAACGAGGATCCAATTTAAATTGGAGAGGTTGATAGTCCAGTAACAATAGAATCGTACAACGTACATTGCGATCACCAGGACGTTTAACCTACAAGAGAATATATAAGCAAATAATTTTAAATACGATTATCAATAAAAATATTACAATAATTATATGTTATCAATAAAAAAATTACAATTTTAAGCACACACACACAAACACACACACACACACACATATATATATATATATATATATATAAATATATATACATGTGTGTGTATATATAATATACACAAATAATAAAAGAAAAAATAGAATTATAATATAATAAAATATAATAAAACTGTATACCCACTTGAAATCCATCAGTTTCTTGAGTTTGTAAAGTTCTATGCCATTCAACGAGATGATTATCAGGCCCGTACAACTCTTTGTCAAGCTCTATCACTAAGGATTTGAAAAATGATGAAAACTTGCGTTTAACCTAAAAGTATATATGTAGTTTGAGAAATAAAATCTAACTACTTAGTATTGGTACTTTGCCTTGAGGCAAGTTACATGAACTTCCCGATATGTGTAAATAAACAACTTAATACAAAATAATTTATGAGCGATTATAAGCATTCTGAGTGGATTTATTACACATAATTGAAAACGAACAATCATGTCAACTCGGAATATTTTTTAAAAACAAATTTTCAAAAATCAATAATTTTTTTTATAATTGAATCAGTTTCCGTAGAACTTTAATGGTTTAGTACGACGAAGTACTCTATCATTATACCAAGTAAATCATCTAATTTTAATTTTAACAAATGTCAAAAAAACTATTCATTTTCCCAAGCTTTGATGAATTTTTAAAATTAAACTACTTGTCGTAAGGCCGTAATACTTCAGTAAGTTCTATAACACCATGATATATATCAGTTCATCATCAGAACAGTTTTTGATTTTTTAAAATCGATTCGATAGTATGAGCTTAAATGTGGACGAAAAGTTTATTACTTTTATCCAAATTTCTAAGGAACGGCTCGGCCGATTGTCGCACAAAACTGACAAGTGATAGTCCTCATTGAGACGCATCAAATGGTTTTTAAATTTCTGAAATCGGTTCAGGCGTTTTTGAGCAAACGTCGATGAAAGGTCTAATTTTGACAAACGCCAAAAAAACGATACTAATTTTTGCAAACTTTGATAAATTTTTAAAATTAAACGACTTGTCGTAGAGCCGTATTTTAGATACGTATTTCAGGATTTTGCTGAAAAATTTTTTTTACGATGATTTGCTCAATTTCTAAAAACATCCTAAATTATATATCTTCAGTTGTACTGATCGGATCAGTATTATTTTTATTTTGTTACTCATACAGAAGTGAACTTTATAATAATTAATAAAAAAAAAATAGTTTAGTCTATTTTCTTAACAATAAAAATCCTTAACTTAAATGTTTTTAGAAAGGTTTTACCTACACTTCCTCCAACTTGAATCGAATGAAAAAAAAAATCATATTTTTTCTTCTTTTTTCAGCAAAATCCTGAAATACGTTTCAGATGATTTTATGTATAATATCTGTAAAAAAAAGTTCAGACAATTGTAAAATGTGACATTTTATTTTTCCCAAAATCCGTGCGATTTGTAAAAGAATGACCCATATGTTGAAAAATATGGGCACATAGACAAGCATATATACATACACATATATAAAACGCGCACATACAATATATAAAATACCTTGTTAGGATCACTCTTTGTATCTTCCAATAGACGACCTTCAACTCGTAACTCCCAAGAGGCGACTGTACCATCGCCACCTTCCACACCTTCATTTACATCTTTGCAAGGATAAAAGGTGTTAGATATAAATATTCTCAACTTTCGTTTCTGTTTCATTGGCCTTTTCAATGCTTCTTGAATATCTAATCGTTTTCTCATAATTGTTGCATCTAACTTTCTTTCAAATGCAAGGAGATCCATATATGCCTGTGATTCAGGCACTAAATCTCTAACTTTCTGCGGCAGAATTTTATCAGCTAGTTTTTTCTTTTTTTTAGCTGCATTGTGAGAGAAATCCCTAAAAAGCAATAAATGTATTGTATTAATAAAAATATGTTTAAAAAAATCCAGTATATGTCATACTAAACATTTTTTTTTAATTACAATATTTGTTACAACTGTTAAATAATTTAACATCTAGTAACAATAATGAACAATAACAAATTTAAATAAAAAGAAGGCAAAATACAGGATAGTATTTAAGGTAAATGTACACTATTCCGGGATAGTCCTTCATTTTGATCGCAAAATAAGAAAACGGTCAATAAATAATAATTTTATTCAATAGCACATCAATTATAATTTGAATCGTAATAAAATAGTACGATTTTCGAATTTAAATATTAGTTTTTAAAACCGTAAAAAGCTTTTGAAAGCATCGGTTGTAACCCGATCGCCATTTCGTACTAGCTTGTTAGCGAGTTAGGTCATGTGACGGTTCCATTGCTTAAGGTTTTTATTCGATTCCGATAAGCTTAATCGATTCAAATGTGTGAAATTTTTGATCAGTAATAATAAGAGATTAGTTTTATAGATAAATCGAGCATATATTTGTCAAGAAATTGTCAATTTCATGACTCCCGCAATTAGGTACACACAACTGAACCAGTGAATGTAATTCCGTGAGTATCTTTTATTTTCTTCTGTTCTTAAATTCGGCGGTGTTTCTGGTGTTATTAAGTTTGTTAATGACTACAGAATACTGTAACGTAATTACGGTATATGTTTTTTTTAAATTTTTAACCCTAGTAATTGAGTTTGAAATGACTACTGTTTCGTAAGAAAGTACACGATTTACCCCACTTATTTGCATTGTTCCAATATACCTAGAACATTGTAGTAATGAGAGAATCATTTATTTCTACCTTTTCATCTATGATCAATTATTTCTCTTATATAAATTGAATAAAAATACAGGTATACCCCGTATAGCGCACGGTACTTATAGGGCCGCGGATTCACTACGGCGCTGGTATGTATGCATGTATGCAGAGATCTAGGGACATTCCAGTAAACACGAAAGTTTTAATCCCATTAAGCTTTTGGAATATAATATAACCATTATATAACCTTACATATTATTAAAACGAACATACATCGTAAGTTATTAAATCAATATGAATTGCAATTACTCGAAAATAAGTTGCCGAGGATACTCTTCAATGCAGTAACTTTCTAATAGTCTAATACAGTTTATTAAATATTATTAAAATTACATTCAATATCAGTAAACTTATTTGGGTATGATTTTAAATCAGTCTTTCAGTTTTTGAAAGAACGATGGCTCCAATTAAATATTCACCCAAAACCCTGGAAAAAGCTTTCCACGACTCCCCGCATTATATTCGCGAGCACAATTTTATCACGGAATTAGGGACAAACGCGTGGTTCAGCAAAATACGGATTATTTCTATAAATGACGTTCGACGACAAAAAATCATGTTTTATAATAATCTTAAAGGTCTAATTAATAAAATTAAACAGATTTAGTTCGTCCACTTTCCTATTTTCTCTAAACTTCGTCTTTAAAGTCAAACGTTCCTTAGCAACCCGTAATATTGTACGTTTACCTTACATTAAAATGATATCCGTAGTATGATAATTTAATATAAAACTAGTGGGGTGTATGGTATCGTGCCTTAAGGCAAATTGCTGGAACTTCCCGTTCCGTAACGAAATGATCGAGGAATATTAAATGTTTTAAAATAGATTATTATAAATATTGTAACATTGGCGAATATTTATAAGAATTATATAAACTAAATTGTAAAATTGAAATTATTTGTTTAAAGTATATTAGTACAGAATTAAAATAAATATCTGTATTATTTTCGATATACAAAAAAAAAATTTTTGGAAAAAATTTAAAAAAAAAAAAATTTTTGGAAAAAATTAAAAAAAAAAAAAAATTTTAAGCAAAAATTTTTTTTCCAAAATCAATTACTTTGTTAAAACAAGCAGAAAGTTTTCGGAATCATTCAAATCGGACGCTTAGGTCTCTTAAAAACTGCCATTTTTTGCACATTTAGCTCTGTATCTCCGAAACCGCTGGACCTGCCTTTGCCAAAAACTAATCAGCACATCTCCCTATCAATAGGAATCGAACGTTTTTTGAACCATTCAAATCGGTCGATCCGTGCGCCCGAAAACGTAGACAAAAAATTGTATCCACACATACATCCACACTCACTCACACACACACACATCCTTTGTTTCTGAGGTATGCCAAAATGTTCAAAAACCTTCAAAACGTCGAGAAATGTAAAAATTTTCAATTTCGATTTTCGGCCCATTATAATAACTTACCCTACGGGAAGTTAATAAACGCAAATAATAATAATAAAATTAATAAATAAAATGAATAATACTAAGCAATATGGTTTTGTTTTATTAAGTAGAACTTTTATTCGGAACACATTTGACGTGCTTGAGTAATAAAATTTTCAGTAAGTATAATACAAACTAGAGATGGACTTATCATATCCGAATCGGTTAGAATTTGACTCCGCTTCAGGAAGGAGTTAATATCCGCTTAACAACTCCACGACTCCGACAACTTTGAAACCGAAATACTCGAAACAAATGTGTTCTATAGTGCGTTGTTTATGTATCTAAAGCCGGCCACAGACGTAACTGTATACTTGCGCAACTGAATGAATGCGCAACCAGGCGTATTTTCACAGCGCCCACAGACGGTTCAAGTTTATGTTCAAGTACTTGCGCAAGCATATCACAAATGTCAAATAATAAATGTCAAAACATAACCTAAAAATATATCTTTTTTATTAATTTATGCATTTACAGGATCAGAAGAGAATTCAAAGTGTTCAGAGGGCTAATTTAATAACTTTTAATTATCGATAACTTCATAAACTTGTATTATGAATTCGCTACAAAGTAAAATTTAAAACGGGACATGTGCTGCCACACGCGGCCAACGAATGAACTTGCCGACTTGAATGATTGCGCAATTAAAATAATGAAAAAGTGCTCATGCCTACTCGCTTGCACCAGTCTGTCAAGTTGCGCAAAAAACACTCCACAGACGCTACAGAATACATGCGCAAGTCGCAGGTTGCGCAAGTATACAGTTACGTCTGTGGCCGGCTTAAGGATTTGTCAAATCCCATGAATTACTTAAAATGAAAATTCATGAATAAATATCAAATAAAATAATTTTTCTAAAAAAATCACAAATAAATGACGGGTTGTAAAATTTTTCGTTCGACCAGATGATCGACTCAATGACTCGTAATTCTAGCAGTGTTGAACAAAGTAAAAACGCAAAACTTGAGAATCAAAATCAATTTATTTTCTTTTGATGACAAAATAATTGATTTTTTGGATTAAATTTTATATAAAAATAATGTAGTATTTTGTAATTTGTAATAAAAGCAAAACATAAAATTTTTCATCAAATAATAATACTTCTGCTTTCTAAATTTTTCTTCTGCTATTTTAATTCGAGAATTCGTATTATATCTGGTAGTTCGATTACCATATTATTACTTTTACACAATTATATAATTCTGTGAAAGTAATAATACTAAATATTTTTGCTGCTTAACCCTCCGTCGGGCGCAGCCGATCTGACAGATACAGGGCCAGCATTTTAGCATGTTTCTTCATAATTTGATGTCATCGAGACCTCCAGATCTCAGTAGCCTCGTTATTTTATATCTACTATTTATTCGTCCATATTACATTGTCTTTGAACTTCGCATATTTTACCAGTAACAATTTTGTTTAAAAAAACGCACTAAGCCAAATTCTATTTGACGTACAAAATGACAAAAACACTAACAATAAGTTTTTACTATCCTAATTGTTTATATAGTCTTTGTATAAGCATTCCAATATAATCTGACAATTTTTTTAATATAATTAATTAAATTATTCATTTCAGAAAAAGAAAGGTTTGTGCGTCTAGCATTTTGAGCGCATGTACGAATTTTTATATTTTGCTATATCATGAAAATAATATTGTTCTAATATATATTTTTTTGTTTACACATGATATACATATTCAGCATTGTAAAAACGCAAATTAAATAAAAATATATAAAACTATAAGCCTTCTGTCAATATACTTATAATCTGTATCTGCGAGATACACTGCGCCCGATTCTGTACATATTTGGACTGCGCCCGACGGAGGGTCAAATACTATTGATATCACTGATAAATTTTGCTCTATAGTATTGTTATTTCAGGCTATGGAAAAACCATATTAAATGTATTTCGTTTCGTGTATTTTTCGGTATGTATATTCCTGATTGCCGTCATTTACAGCCAAATATTGTCGTAGTTAGAAATATGAATCCTTACTATTCAATAAATTATACATTTGAGCTATTCATACTTGAACACAATTTCATTATTATGTATCTTAGAAGTGATATTTTTGTATTTTTTTGGAAAATACAAATGGCATTATTTTGACTCATATACCTAAAAGGTCATAAAACTGCCTGTGAGACGAGAAAGCGACCGCATCCTTCTCAAAGCAAATCTGTAAATGTCTGCACGAGTTAACAGATTTAATACCAGTTAAGAAAGTCGGATATGACAAAATCTCCGACACAACTCCGCTCGGATTCACTCCGAGGGAGGAGTTGTATCGGAGTAATTACTCCGGAGTGAGTTACCCATCTCTAATACAAACACTGCCAATGAGCCTATTAAATCACATGGTGAAAATACAATAATGAACTCTTAACACGCAGCGTAATGATTGTCAACACTACGGGATTCGAACTTTGAAATAAAATGCTGAGAAAACCATAGCACCAATCTCGACTAATTTATGTCGTAAATTCGTAATGTTAGTAATATTATATATGCATTTATAATTTTGATAAACTTTCCAAATTTTGAAGTTCTGGTGTAAATCGCTTATTAGGCAAACAATGAATAAATATTTGCTTGATAAAGTGACCATATTTTTTTTAAGTCAAAACCGGGGCGACAATTTTTAGTTGTGATAATCCGGGGCGGGATGAGGGTGTTGTTTTTATGGCAAATAACATAGTATTTGTTATTTTCAAATCATATTTAAGGAAATTTAAAAAAAGAAGTTTTTTTTAAATTATCCTTTTTAATTCAGAATTGCTGACTTACATTATTCGATTATGTTATATTATACTATTCTCCAACTTATGATGTTATAATATTTTATATATAAATATATTTTATATTTTTCGATCAAGATGTTTTTTTCGCTTTGTTTAGCCTTTTATTAAAATTCTGTTCAATTTTCTTCATAATTAACTTAAAAAAAAAAAACATTTGTTCGTTAAGACAGTTAGGATCGATACTATCACCCTGTTTCGGCTTGGCGTCAAGATCTGGGACATCTTGTGTGTGTGTATATATATATAAGCTTTTTAGATTTGTTGTTCGACGTTGAGACATTTTCTTGTAATTTTAAAGTTGTATTAAATTTTCGTGAAATTGAATATAAAAGTTAAAATTATTAATGTGAAAGGCTATTTTATCCGGAATTTTGTATTCGGCAATATTGTCATTCATAACGTATTGATATATATAAGCATACTCACTGTCTTGTAACATTATGTATCATTTTCAGATATTTGTTGCGTAGTTGTAATTTTATTATGAAGTAATTACAAAGATTCAATTTAAACCAATACTTTTCGAAAGCTGGCAATCTGGGACTCTGCCGGCCGGGACGTAAGGTCACTTTATTTGTAAATATAGTAGTAACGAGAAAACTGAGATGCACTAAACTTGATAATGTAATGTAATCTTGAATACAATCAAATCGCTAACATAAACATTCGAAACTAGAATTTCAAAGATTTTTTTTTGCAAATATCTCAAGATATCTACCTATTTGAATACTGAACATTCTATTATCAGGCCTTACTATTATAAGTATATTTTTCTTCAAGCTATTGTGAGTTGCATTACATGATATTAGTGTTAGGCTTACTATAGTTTTAGTTTTGTATTTTATTGTAATTCAAGGCCGTGCCTGGGTATGTGGCCGCCTGCGTGCGAGCATTTTTTGGCCGCCCTTGAAAATAACATTATAGGAAGACGTTTCTAGTCATTCTGAATCGTTTGAGATCAAAGTTGAAAAAAAGTGTAGATGAGCCGATTTTTGAAAAACGGTTAAATCAATTTCAAAAATTTAAAAGTCATTTGATGTAACTAGATAACGACTACTGTCTGTCAGTTTTGTAAAACAATTGTCCAAGCCGTTTCTAATCAACAAAATAGTGTACAAATTTTCGTACACGTTTTACCCAAAAATCGTGCATCGTTTTTAAACATTCAGAAACTGTTTGAAAGATATCATTTGGGAATCGTGCTGATTAGTTTTAAGAGATCGGTCGAATTGTTTCTTCGTATTTAATTGTCAAATATTTTTTACGATGATATTTATAGAACTTTTATGGCTATATATCATGATCTCAAATATAACTAAATATTTCGACCCTACGACAAGTCGTTTTAATTTTCAAAATATTATCAAAGTTTGAAAAAATGAACAGCACTTTTTTACGTGAGGTAAAATTTCATCGACGTTTCCTTAGAAATGCGCAATTCTTTTTGAAAATTCGATGAAATTCAATAAGCACTCGTGTTGCTTAATTTTGCCTCACGATCGGCCCAGCCGTTTTTTTTAGAATCGTCAAAAAAGCGTCAAATTTTTCGACCATGTTATAGTCTAAATTCGTGAATCGATTTTAAAAACTCAAAAATGATTACAAAGAAACAACTTGAGAATCGTGCTGATCGGTCGAGTCGTTTCTCAGTTACTGATTAACCATTTTTTTTTGCGATTTTGAATCCTGTTCTTAATGAACATATTACACGTTTATTTCTTGTTCAATAATATTTAATTTTTAAACCATTTATAAAAAATAACTAACATGTTTAGAAAATTTGTACAAAATTGAATAATCTGCGATAGCTTTTCAAATTGCAATGAACTCATGAATTAATATATTTTTTATAGTTAAGTCGATTATTTATACATGTTACAAAATTCATACATCTTGCTTTAAGGCAAAGTTGCCACTTACACCAAGTTTATACACTCATTAATGATTTGGAAACAAAGCTTTCATTCGCCGCTTTTTAATTCGATCTCGCCTTTAATACGGCCGCCTTTGACTGATTTTGAAACGGTCGTCTTTTAACTCAGCGGACTTTCAATACGGCTGCAAACGAATCCAGCGGACTTTTAGTTTGGCCGCCTCTTAATCCAGCGGTCTTTCAGTTGAACCGCCTTTTAATTCAGTGGACTTTCGATATGACCGCTTTTTATTACGGCCGCCTTCGAATTTGTTCTTTTTTAATTTGGCCGCCTGCGTGCGGTGCACGCACTGCACGCTGGCCAGGCACGGTCCTACTGTAATTAATGCAATTAAGAGAATTTCTTTACTGCAATGAGTCTAATCCTGTATACGAAATATATGAAATATATAAAGTATATGATGTTTCAGATCAGTAAACGTCAGACAATCAGTAAAAATTTGCCAAAATGTGCAATAAAATTAGAAGCTTTAATTTTTATATGTACATAATATAAAAGGACGAAAATGCATAATGGGAATATATATATTATGTTAAAAATATATGGTCACCCAGTATATTTTATTTCCATAGGAAGCCTTATCCTTATATAATACCCCGCATAGAATTTGTTCGGACGGGAAGTAGTGCCTGATGCGGGGTACTACTATTAGCGTTACGCGCGGGTGTACTGGCTCTGGTTTGTTCAATTTTTCAATGCGTTCCACAAATTTGATTTGAACAATATTTGCAGTACTAAAAGAAAAAACAATAGAATAACGCTAATAAGAAAGTAATTAACTAGGAAGCCTTATCCTTATATAATACCCCGCATAGAATTTGTTCGGACGGGAAGCAGTGCCTGATGCGGGGTACTACTATTAGCGTTACGCGCGGGTGTACTGGCTCTGGTTTGTTCAATTTTTCAATGCGTTCCACAAATTTGATTTGAACAATATTTGCAGTACTAAAAGAAAAAACAATAGAATAACGCTAATAAGAAAGTAATTAACTATAACGAAACGAACCACCAACGAAGAACGCAATACATCGTTTTTCTAGATCCTTAATGTATATGCACTCAAACAACAGTAAATAAAGTTATGAAATGTATGTCGATGACATAGATGCGGTTCGGGTAAAAAAAAACAAGTAAACCTTTACAGTTGCAAAGGTGTAATAAATAAAAGTGATAATAAATAAATTATATTAACCGTCTTAATGTCAAATTTTTTGATAATATATATAAAAAATGCCAAGAATAATTACTCTTTTTTTGATAAATTTTGGAGTAAGATATTGTAATGTGTAACTATTACAAAATTGTTTCAATTTTCTTTTTTTTTTTCAACATCATATTCTAGTTAGTTTATTTTATGAAAATATAGGCCAAAAATCAAACAATATTTTACAAAATCAATCTTATAAACACTAACAAAAACCGCACAAATTCACAAAAGATAAATTGCCATTGTACTGATGAATATATAGGTATCTTTGTTAAAAAGTGCTCATAAAATTTGTCATCATTCAAAGGTACCAGAACAAAATTCTGCGTATCCTTACTAATGCGCCTGGGTATATTTCAAACTTTTGCCTACATAAGGATTTGAAAATCTCAACAGTCAACGAAATGATCAAGATTAGAAGTTCATCTTTAAACAATAAATTAATCCAGCATACAAATCCTACTATTCAAGCGATTCACAGACCGTTAAGAAGATTGAGCAAGAAATGGCCTTCCGATCTACCAAACACCTAGCCCAATATCTGCACGCGCCCTGACGTAGTACGCGGCATACATCATCACGTCATAGTTCATTTATGTTATTATTTTTGTATTACTGTTTGTATTTTATTTTTATTTTAACTTTTTTTCATTTTATATTCAATTTATTGCATTTTTTTGTATTTTTGAATTATTTTTTTGCTCATATCAATTTTGTAAATAAGACAATAATGTCTTGATTAACAAAAATAAATTGTAACAAAAAAAAAAAAATTAAAAAAAATTTTATTTGGCATTGGGTGAATAATGTTACTTTTAGTTTAAAAAATATTGAACATTAATTAAAAATGAGAATTTGGATGTGTTTTTGGGTGAAATTTTAAGAAAAAAAAGCAAATAAACATATTTTTATATTTAGGCAATAACTAGAAAATATTCTGAACTTATATTGATAATTGGTGGCTGATATATGTCATGGGCTATGATGTTTGCTGTTTGGTTTTTGCAGTTTAATTACTGCTGATTTTCTTATAAGCTCATATTATATATTGGGATACAGTATGAGATATTTCACTCAAAGATGCATCCACTACAGCTCAATAATCAACAATCACTAAAAATATGTGCGCTATTTCACACCTTAATTAGATGTAACAAAATCACATTTTTGTTTATTTATATGTATATATCATTTGATCTTTTCCCTCCGGAAGAATTTGAAATTGCACCAGACCTTACATTACTTTGATACGGAGATGGTGCTGCTCTTTGCATTACAGAATTGCCAGCATTGTTTGTCGGACCACTTGGCCCTACAGCTGGGGGCGGAGTAAAACTTGTTCTTTGCTATATAATCAGGTATCGCTAGTATTATATAAACAAAATGTACAATGCAACCGCTAGTAATATATAAACATAATGTACAATGAATATAACAAAACTGCTACTTAGATACTTAGTAATTCATAATACACAACACATACGATAACAATATTTTTAATTCATTTTAATAGCTGTAACATTGTGACTCATTGATTACTTACGATTTCGGTTGTGCTTGGGCTAGTGTGTTCCTGCTATCATTTGATCTTTTCCCTCCGGAAGAATTTGAAATTGCACCAGACCTTACATTACTTTGATACGGAGATGGTGCTGCTCTTTGCATTACAGAATTGCCAGCATTGTTTGTCGGACCACTTGGCCCTACAGCTGGGGGCGGAGTAAAACTTGTTCTTTGCTATATAAATGTCAGAACTATCAATAAAAATTCATACAACTTGTTACAAAATTACTTGTTAATCTTACTGGAAAGTTTGGCCCTGCATATTGACGAATGTTTGAATTTTGTGGAGGTGGATATCTATTTTGTGTAGGACTGGCTGTATTGGCTGTCACTCCCGCAACAGGAAATCTTTGCGCCATAATAACTTAACTTAAATGCATTCAGAAAAATACCTTAAACGGTATCAATGATTTTCACAATTCATAATTAAAATAGGTAAAAATGCATAACCTTATAAACTAATAATACATCGAAATGATTTTGCAGTTGTATAATAACGATATTCTTTGAAGTTGGATAAACACGAATATTAAAACTTAAAACTAGGCATTTTGGCGTCTATATAGTTTTTGCTTGACTCCAAAATGTCGACAGTGTTAGTCTTGCCTGATGTGAAAAATGTTTTTTTGTTGGTGATAAAATGAGCTGTGAGATGGCCGTCGCTGTCAACATGGGGGGTAAACATAGAACAAATACGATTTATTTTGTATGAGTGTTTTCAGCATATAACAGATGACGCTAATGTGCTTCAAATTCAGTGTTTGTTTTGAACAGTCTCTCTAGATATAGAACACGTACTTTAAAGGTTTAAGTAGCAATTATATCACTTTTTTAAGTAGCAATTATGTATATTGAATAAAAAATTGAATTGAATTGAATAAAAAAATATTTAATTTTTTCTCTTCATATCTTTTTTATGACATGTTATATATATATATATATATATATATATAATATATATATATATATATATTTATATAATTAAAACTAAGGGTAAATTTACGTGTTACGGTTGGTGGTGACCTCTATGAAATGCTGAAAGAATTAAAATTGATGTAATTTCAAAGCGCCCGTGTTTACCACCTATTTGCGATATCCAACCTAAATTACTCTTTGGGCCAAAATTTAGGAATATACAAGGCACTGGGCCCATAGACCTTGTACAATGTATTGTATAATAGTATAGGAGCCAGCAACGTTTTCAAAACAAGCATTTTAGTCAGGCTGGTTTTTTGGTATGTGGTCCTTGGTGCTCTCTCGGTTAGGGCAAGGGCCGTCTGGCAGCTGGAAGTGGTTGCGTTAATTAGTGCGCAGCCAATTTGTACAGCGCGATTTCAGAATTTTGAAAGCATTTTAGTCAGCCCAATTTTCGTTTTTTTGACTTCGAATAGGTTCACCAGACTCAAATTTTTTGTTGCCAGACATTTTGGGCGCTGCTAAATATGTGCCAGACGCCAATTTATTTATTAATTTTTTAAAAATTTCAAATCATTTTAGTCCGTGTGAAATTTTAGTATTATGTTCGTTAAGGGTAAAAACACGTAAAATTAATTTGCCAGACGTTTCTGCGGTTGTTAACCATGTCTGGCAAGCAAAAATGTCTGGCAATATGATACTAGTTTATAGCATTTTAGTCAGTCCAATTTTCATTTTTTGACTTGATATTTGATTTGATAACTTGAATAAGTTATCCAGATTCACATTTTTGTTGCCAGACATTTTGGGCGCTGCCAAATATGTGCCAGACGCCAATTTATTCATTAATTTTTTTTAAATTTCAAATCATTTTAGTCCGTCTGTAATTTTGATATTATATTCATTAAGGGTCAAGAAACATAAAATTAATTTGCCAGACGTTTCTGTGGTTGTTAAGCATGTCTGGCAACGAAAAAAGTTTGCCAATATGATACTAGTAGACAGAGTTGTTGTTTTCTTTGTATTTTAAAACTGTTTGAAAATTCTTTTTTTTTCAAAATAATCGTAATATGAACATTTTTTCGGACATAATTCCCCACGATTACAAGCATATGGACTTATAGACTGGTGAGTGACTCGTGAACTAGTGTTGCCCACTCAACCATAGAGGAGCCGCTAGTCTCCCGTTGTCCGTTGCGTTGACAATTATTTGTCGTTATCTGTCAAGCGCTATCCATAGAATATCATATCGACATCTATTCATATCTATTTTTTTCGTTTGAAGCTGACTTAGTATTCAGACTTCTATATTAGCCCCTTGTATTAGCCTTTACAAAAATTATTTTATTTATTTAAATTGAAAATTATAATTAGTGCGATTGTTGATTATCATGGGGCCGCACAAAAATTGCCATCCCTAGACATAATAATAGTCCCTTGATCATGTTTAGATCTTATCTATGCCCTAGATAATGTTAGAATTCCTAGACAATATTAGATATTTGTATTAATACTAGATATTATTAGTTAGAATTGGTTAGAATATAAGTTTACGGTTAAGTACAAGCACATCGGGCATAACATCAATAAAAAACATGAATTTCTTTCAAAAATTTATTTTAAATCCATACGTTTCGGCTCTAATCCTAACCTTCATTTAGTGGAAAAATTAGTAGATCTTAGTGTTAAATTGGTTAAATTCCAATTTAACACTAAGATCTACTAATTTTTCCACTGAATGAAGGCTAGGATTATAGCCGAAACGTATGGATTTAAAATAAATTTTTGAAAGAAATTCATGTTGTTTATTGATGTTATGCCCTATTATTAGACTTTGTTAATATATATATATATATATATATATATATATGTGTGTGTACAATGAAGAATATGTAGCTCCGGTAGCTCGATCATTTAGTTCCATACTCATTGCAAAATGGGCTTTCTCATACTGTTAATACTTGTAACCGCTTCTAATATGGTAGTCATTAACGTTGGTATCTTCAGTAAATAATTCATTTTCATTTTGAACCCTTTTGCTTGGAGCGTCAATAAAGATCCTAGACAATATAATAATGATGATGACACAAGATATATCACTCTTTTATATACGATTTGGTGAAATAGTTGAGAATTTCAAGTTATGAGAATAGACACGATGCTTCAGCGCCATCCATTTTCAGGGCTAGTTGCTTCGGCAGGTGAATTTTTACACACTTCTTAGCGGATTCCAACTTCCATGGAAAAAAACAATGAAAATAAGAAGTTTTTAACAAGTAATCATTTTTATAAAAATAAAATCACATGAAAATGGACAATTCATTTATTGGTCATAACTGAAAGTTTCTTTGCACCAGTCATTCTACAAATATTTAATAAATTAAATTTTATATTTGATAATAAAGACATTACATCACATAGTTTTAATTTGATTTTTTATGACTTCTTTCAGTATAGAAAAAATCATATCCACAAAAAAATGATAGAAGAACAAATGTACATTCATGTCCTATACTGAATTATTACATGATCTGTTAGAAGCAAACAGAATATGTATAATATAAATTATATTATTTAAATACAATATTTAAAAACAAAAATCAATAATTTCCAAAATTACAATTTTTCTAATCAAGATCACAATTAAAATAATTTGCTCATATTTACTATAAAAACATTATTTGTATGCAACTAAATATTGCCTTTGTAAAATCTACTTAAGTCTTCGTGTAGGTTCAGATGCTGTAGGAGGAGGCGGCGGCCCCCTCTTGTCAAGTTCTTCTAAATAGTTCATGACTATATTAGTCCTTTCAGTACCTAAATGTTCTAAAACTAAATACCTGCAAACAATAATATTGATTGAATAATTAATCAAATTTTTATTGATACAAGTATTCTCAAATCAACTAAATATCAAAAATTACCTTTTATCCATGGTTAATAGGTTCTCAATTTCAGTTAAATGTTGTGGATTTTCTTTCACAGTGGCTAATGATTTATGTGTTATAAGTTTTGTTTCTTGCAAAAGCTCCTTCAGAGCCACCTTTGCAAGACCAAGTTTATCCTTCATATAGTCTCTAAACTCTCGTTCACACTTTATAAAGAAGACAATATTTTTATCAATTAACTGAAGTTCACCATATATATATTCAACAAACGTTATGAAATTACAATTCAAATGGTTTTATTTTGGCATCTTGGATTTCATTACAAATCTATACCTATTTTTACACAAGCAAATATTTTTTGAAATAAACTAGCAAAAGGCATATGCAGGTTGCACTAAATGCTTTAAAATTCTAAGAAAATAAAACATTAATTATATTTCTGTATATTCTGCCTGCTCACATTAAAATGAAAAATGAATAGAAGTAAAACATGCATCAATCATGAATTATCTCTCAAAGCTATGTTTAGTAAAACCTTATAGTAATTTACCAAATCAAATATGACACAAACCTTTTCACTTGAAGAAAACTTGGTGTATCTAGGATCTTCTTTGATTATCTTCTTCACTTCCTTCCAACTGCTAGTTAATGTTACCTGCTGCAGATCATCAAGCATTTCACGGAATTTATCACGTTTCTTCTTATTCAGTTGTTCCATATGCGTATCAAATAGCCGTTCCTTTTCTTCCCGATCAAGAAGATCAGCTAAATCCCATCGGTGATCTTTACGAAGAAGCCGTTTTGCCTCACGCCATGTTGGTTCACCGGTGCGTACCAAATCAGATAAAAGCGCCGTAAAATGCTGAAAATTATACAGACCTTAATTATGTAACTTATATTTTATATAATAATGTTAATATACACAATTAAAAACACTGATTATAGTACCATATAATATTTACATTATTTTCCATTTTTTAGTAAAGTTGATTGGTTCACCAATCCGTACCGAGGAAAAATTGTTTACGAGCTCTATATTAATTATCTCTCCTACAAATAGTATATAAAATTTAATTTGCTACATTACTGGTTGTCAGAAGATACTTAACACATATTTATATTCATTCATAAATAGTTTATTTACAAAACTGCCTAAATCACTATAACAAATATACAGATTATGGTACCAGCTTAAAAAATCTACTGTTAAAAGGAGATATACAATTCTTATAGAAATAATAATAAGCAAAGTAATATTGAAACTATAATTACACTCACCTGCACGGCTTCATCCCGCTTGTGATGTTCTCTCTCCTTGTCCCTGTCTCTCATGTGAGTAGCTAGAGTTCTCTGCACTTCCTTCTCCCTCTCTCTTATGCTCTGCTCTGCCCGTGCTTTCTTTTCTCTTTCCTTTTGCTTTTCGTCTTCCTCTTCAGTCATACTGTTGTTGCTTAGTGTGCGCTCCTTATGAGATCCCTCTCCTTCACTCAGTTGCTCCCCAGAAGATAATACGGATGCTGAATCCGCACTCACATTTTTTTCATCCTTCTTACCCGATTCTTTTTTATTTTCATGTTTAGATGATGAATCCTTACGTTCTTTGCGCTCCTGTAAGTTAATATCAGTAAATAGAAACCATAAGCATATTCAATTACATTTTGGTAACCAATGCATAATTGAAAAGAAACTTTATCACAGCCACATGCAAAGCAGAAGGATGTGGCTTAATGCAAGAAGAACATTCATTTTTAGTCAAATTGTAAAATTTAAAATACCTTGGACTCTTTTTTCTCCTTTTCCTTCTCCTTTTCGCGTTTACGCTCATCTTTGAGTATCCTACAATAATCTCTGAACCAATCTTCACGAGTGGCTGATGAATCCGCATTTTTATATCGTGGATCATTTTCTACTTTCTTCTTGACATCCGCCCATCTCGAGTGCCTATCTATATCCTTATGTTCTCTCAACATCATCAGGAAGTCCTTTTTAATCTAAAATAAGAAATGCGAAATAAAAATATATTTCGATACTGGCGTTTTTGCAAAAGAGCATTCACATTTAAAATATCTTATTAAACTAAACAACTTAAACTAAAAACACTAATTACTAAAAATCCAATATTAGCTGTAAAAAATTCTCATTAAACCTGAAAATCAGAATTATATGTAAGCTGAAAATAAGAGTATGTTAATTATTAATATTAATAAATTTAAATGTTATTTATATAGCCTTATATATAATAACAAATAATCAACAGCCATCCATATTCACTTTACTATTTCTATTATATATATATATATATATATATATATATATATATAAAATAGAAATAATTTGCAAAATATTCGAATTAAAAATGGGTAAAAGGAAAACATTCCCTATTGATTATAAGTGTCGACACTTCATGTGTGTCATCATTCAGCCATTCTAAATTACATTCACATTATTACAATGAATACAAATGTTTTATTAATAACGAAATTTAGTGAGGAGAAATATTCATATTTAACAATCTATGTCTATTTATTGTAATAATGTATGTTAGATTGGTTGAATAATAACACACAACAAGTGTCAAAACATATAATCAACAAAAAATGTTATTTATTTAACATTTTTGAAATGTTTCATCAGAAAAATTATTGATATTATATATATATATATATATATATATATATATATATATATATATATAAATTACTTTTCTCTTTGCAATATACTTCACACACATAATACAAAAACAAACTCACTTGCGCGATCAAGGTATAATATTATTAATTCTCAATAATTTCTTAACAAATAAAATAATTCTGAAGTAAAAATAACACACCAATTATCTGGGATGGAATTAAATAATTCATGTAAAAGGAATATCTATGAATATTTACTATTGAAGAATAGTGATATTTAAAAATCGAATGTACATTTAACATGTACATAAAACTAAGCAAATGATTAAATTTTGAAAATAACACTCATCTTAATATTAATTTTCAAAAACAGCACCTGCTTAACAGAAGCCGTTAAAATGTAAACAAATAAAAACAGTATTTTAAAGTAAAGATGTACTATGAGGTCAATTTCAAAATAAATAACTTGCATATTACATGTAATTTAAAAATCATGTGTTGAGTGCACAATACACTTTCTTTTACCTATATAACAAAGGAACAATTGAAACTCATTGAGTTAGAAGATTAAGACTTTCGAAAAAATGTTGATGACAAATATATAAATTTGTATATAAAAAATATTCCATTGCACTACTACTTTAAATAGTTGTGCAACACAAAACTGAGGGTTATTTATTCAAAATGATATGATTTTATGTTGGCTAGGATTATTATAAACCGCTGTAACAGAACTTTCTTTTTCGTAATATTAATATTTCGTATCTTAAAAACAAATTTGGTTGCACTGTTAACTTTTTGATTTGGGGCCGTTCAAGTATTACGTAAGCACTATAGGGGGGTGGGGGGCTTGTTGATTTGCTCATTTTTGGTTGACATGGAGGGCGGGGGAGTCTGGATGATGATTACGTCATAGGTAATATTTTTATTTTTTTACATTAATTGCAAAATGTTTACGTAAGCATGGGGGTAGGGGGTAAGTAAGAGCTTTGCTTACTTTTGCTGACAAGGGGGATGGGGGAGTAAATAATTGTAATAAACCTGCTTACGTAATACTTGAACGATCCCTTTGTAAATGAAATATGATTCAAGGAATTTTCAAATGATGAACAATTCCTAAAAAAAATAATAAATGTATTTAGTTAATAGTGCAACCAACTATGTGTTAGCTTCAAAAGAAAACATTGTATATATATATATGTGTAAGTTTATATGTACGTATTCATTATACATATACCACATAATAATATACATTTTTGCCCATGCTTTTACATATAAATGAATTTCCACAACAAATCTGTATGCCATAATTTTCGAATTGTTATTTCTAGACTTATATTTAGTATACAATTCTATTTATAAAACAAAGTATATATGTACATAATTTTTTTCAAATCCTTGAAAAACAAACATAAGAATAAAAACGTTAATCATTAATTTTTAATAAACTGAAATTACCAAATATTGAACTAAACACACAAGCTAAAATTTAATCCCACGTATTTTAAAAACCTTTAATTGTAATGAAACAATTTCAACTTCCCAAAGAAAAGTTTGTTTTCGCGAAAAAATCGGATTTGCTCATTTTGTTTTATCGCCATTACAAGTCATTTTGAATCGAATGAGACTTAATTTGGAAAAAGTCTGTGTGTGTGTGTGTGAGCCAATATTTACTACTTGGGTTCATCTTAAAAAAAAGTTGGATTGCGATGAATCATAAAATAAACAAGCACAAGGAAACATTGCGGAACATTCTACAAATAAGTTACGTTATGGTGAAGCAATTAAAAAAATACGATTGGCGTAAAGTATTATTATAATTATTATTGAAAAATATATATAGTTATTCAATGAACAGTAATTTAAGTTCAAATTTAACACATATACTTTGTTTGATTGAAATAATAATATATAAGGAATAAGCGATTTGGTGTAGATATCCCATATTCATTGTGTGTGTGTGAATATTTGAATCAATATAGGTGGAACTATATAAGATACCTTGCATCAAGCAAGTGAACTATGGTTAATATAAGTTTTAGATTAAATATTAAAGGATGAATCTCATAAGAATGATGTTCAGTTGGTTTTAGAGAACAAATCTTTGTTCATATAATTACGAGTACCATAAAGATGACTTGAAGGCAGAGTAGCGGAACCTTTGGTTGACCACTATTACTTGTGGATGTGTTGTTGACCCCATGAGTCTTTGCCTAGTCTTTGTCTTAGCCTCATCACACCAAAAATGCCAATACTGCATAGACCCAATATCGCCGCCAATGCTTGAAAATATATTTCTGAAGTAAGTTTATATAAAGGCATCTCGTCTTTGCATTTGTCTTCTAATTTTTATTATAGCCACAGTACGTTATTTTGGAAATTAGTGATCAAATACCTCCGGAATGATCCATCACTCAAAACTATTCGTAAGCAACTAATTTTTGATCATAATATTGAATATTCTATGACATGAAGTTGATGTTAATTTCCATTTGATCCAATTTATCATTGAGTTCTATTAGATTTAATTTTAATGTTACAGATAAAATAGAATTAAGATTAGAATTTCATTTTAATTAAGCATTTAATTAATATTTTATTCACTATTACTTAATAAGACATATTTGCTGAAAATAATAATTATACTTGAGCATCTTATATGATGTAAATTACATTTATCATATGAACGACAATATATATTGAAAAATCATGTTACAATTGTGATACGTAATTGCTCAAAAACATTAAATATTTGTATTATGTTATTACTGCGCATAAGATGTATTTTAATATTTATGAAAAGAAATTACATTTGAGATGCTTACCTGCAATATAACATTAACAAACAAAAAACAAATGCAGAAAGTGAAATTAACTAACCTGTTCTCTTTTCTGTAACTTATCTTCCTTTTCTCTTTTGCGCAGCTCTATTATGTATTCATTAAAAAGGCCTTCACGTTCACGAACTTTTTCAATATTTTTAAAACGTTCATCCTTACTATATTTAGCAGCAAAATCACTAAAAGATGATCTGCCAAAAAAAAAAATTTAATTTATATATATTTATATATATATATATATATATATATACTTTTACAAATCGCCAAATCGATTTTTCCCCAGAATTAAATTATAAAAGATTTTTCAACAGAAAAGCAATAAGATGGGCATTCGAAGTGATACGTGAGAACAGGTGTCTTAAGTACCCTACATGAACAGCGCGAGTCGCGCTGGGAAACACTTAATATCTTTTGATGCAACATAGATTCCAATTATGATAAGCATTTTGTAGTAGAGAGAAAAAAAAATATGTTTTTTTTTTTAATCAATTCAAGTCGGGGGTGGGGTAGGTAAAACCTTTGTAAACATTTAAGGGTTGTTATTTTTAAGAAAATTGTAGAAACTTTCTTTTAAGATTATTATAGTGTTCATGAGTATAATAAAAAAAAAAAATACTGATCCGATTAGCACAACTAGAGATAATTAATTTAATGTAATGGATGTTCATAGTAATTGAAAAATCATCCATATTTCAATCGTAAATATTTAGCTAAAAAAAATTTACAGTGAAATCCTGAAATACGTGTCTTTTAGTTATTTTATGTATAATATATGCAAATTTTTTTTTAGACGGGCCTAAAATGGTGAGCGATTTTAAAATATTTGTGAAAGTATGACCCATATGCAGTGGTACATCAAGAATAACCATTCAAAATATTTGAGATAAATCATGGTCTTGAAATGTTTGTAATTTATTACTTTATGTAATAAAGTTAGTGTAAAAACAGAGTGCAGTGTAACCATATTCACTTAATTAATATTATTTCAGATCATAATTTAAAATTCTTTTTGCATACGTAATATGTACATTCTGATAGGCATAATCAAAATTTTTTATAAAATTAAATTATAGTAAACTTTTGTTAACAATAAATGTTAACAAACCTCTATTACCATAGTGTAATAATTATTATTGATACATACTTTCCATGTAAATGTGCTTGATCCATCAAAGCCTTAAATTCATCCTTCCGTTGCTTTAATTTTGAACGTTTTTCTCTTCTTTCCTCTTCTGCGCGATCCTTAACATATCTGTCAAAAACTTGTTTCCTCTCTTTTGAAGTTAGCAAAAGATAACGAGAATCAAAAACGATTTTATGTAGTTCTTTTTCCCAAGTGCTAAATGCAGATACCTAAAATAAAATATATATATTTTGTATTCTAGGTATTAAAATAAGATACTTTGCTGAAGAAACCATACTTCTAAAATGAATTCTGATGTCCCGTGCATTGACTCAAAGATAAAGGTTAAATTTTGGAAAACCGCTCAGGGTCACAAATCAACCCGCTCTAATATATATATATATATATAGCTGGGCATTAACTCGTTAATCCGAAGTTAACATTTTGATTAATGGATTAACTTTTAAGTTAACTTTTAAAAATGTTAACGGACACGTTAACTTCCGTTAAAATGCCAGAAGTCCGTTAATTGTTAATCCAATGCCTACTATTTACCGCACGGCACAGCTTTAGCCAATGCCTTATTAAATGGCATAGAGAAAAGATTTGGACCACATATATATATATATATATATATATATATATATATATATATATATATTTTAACCATTAATAATATGAATAACTAATATATAAAAGATCGTGTTTTTTTTTTCTTTTAAATAGAAAAGCAATAATTTATAAATTTATCAATAAAAAATAAAATTACTTCTTTTTCTTGTAGCATCTCTTTGAAAGATTTGATGCGTGTCTCTAAGGGCACAATGGCACGTTCTCGTGCTGCTCGTACTTCAGCTTCTATTGCTGCTTCTTTGCCAATATCAATATGTTTTTTATCAGCAATGCTGGACATAGCTGATTCTGAAAGATAATGATGATATTAATAAAATAAAGTTTAATTATTAGGATGTCTTCATAGTCATTCTTAACATCAAAAACATCTATTCAAAATTTTTGAAAACTTACGAGGTATTTATGAAGTGCAATTCTTTATTCAAATCAATTATTTTCATATATTGAATACTTTATGCAACAGGCCAACAAGCACAAAATGGTTAAAACAAAAATGTAAAAAATAATAATAATGTAGGTACTATGTGAAAAAGTAATGTATGTACTAAAAGGTCTATGTAAGATCACTAAGTTAATATTTCTTATGATACACCACAGAAACAAAGTGCTAAAGAACCTTGCTAATAATGTCTGAATATAATCCTTAAAAAATGTCTCTTACAAAAATAATTAAAATAGTAAAAGTATGAAATATACCTTCTTTCTTTGTTTTCTTATTAGGTGGAGATTCAGCACCATCGTCATCTTGATCTCTTTTCACGGTCTGTTTACTCGCTTCATTAAGCTTGGCAATCGCTGCATTAGTTGCACCTGGTTGAGCTACAGGAGGAGGACTCGAGACAGCCTTATCTACATCAGCACGACCAGAGAGTTCCTCTGGACGCTCCCAGACAGAAGTACGGCTAGATGGGTTGTAGAAAAAAACACGACCATCACCTGTCCAGACAACACACCTTTAAAGAAAGATAAGAATTAATCACTGTGAAGATATTTTGTATAATTACAAATACTATATAAAGGCCTCTGAAAATTACAAACAAAACAGAATCATCAAAAAATATTTGAATACTATTAGTTTTATAGAATGACAATACCAAAATGTTATTCAATTACAATTATCAATTACCATGGTGTTCCAGATATCGGTGTGCTAGAGACTGGTTTACTTTTATCTTGTACTTTCTGCACAGTTTTTTTCTCTTCTTCTTTTTTTGGGGTCACTGTAACCTTATCAGATTTAACTTCATTAGCAACTACAGTCTTGCAGTCTTCCTTTGATTTGTTGCCATCAGTTGCAACTGAAGCACCTTCTTTAGGGGATGCTGAAGTGTCTTTCGAATGTTCTGTTATTTGAGGTTTATTGCTTGACTGAGAAATGGCTGCATTAATCGTAACTGAAGCTTGTGTATTCTGTTGTATGAGTTTGATTGCTAGAACATAATTAAATATAAGAAATATAAAGCAACATGTAGCCAAATAAAATTATAGTAACAATAAAAATTGTATGTATAAAATATGAATGTATAAAATTAACTGTTCACAATAATATAACTAACCTTCTAAGTCCTTGAGAGCTTGTGGTTTCTCCCATACTGATTCAGATGTCTTAGCGTTGTGAAAGTAGCTTCGTCCATCAGGAGCTTTATGCTCAGTCCATTCAGCTGCTTTTCCCACAAGAATGGGATCCAATGAATTAGTTGGTACAACATTCTCTGATGCCTTAGCAGCCGTTGGAAGATTGCTTAAAGCAGTAGGAATTTTATTCAAAAAAGGAGGCGGACCACCAACTGGCCACTGTGGCGGTGGCATTCCTGACCAATTTGTTGGAGGTGGCATACCAAACGGAGGTGGAGCAAAATTAGGAGGCATTCCTGGAAATGGTCCTCCAGGACCTAAGCCTGGCATCATATTACCCGCATTGGGCGCTACTTTACCTCCTGAATTTGATGTCATTCCGGTAGGTCCATTAGGTCCCATATTCATAACACTGGAGGAACCCATCATATTAACAGACATAGCAGCTGGAATACTTTGATCATCACTAGAATTATCAGGTACAGAAATAGGACCTCCGGGCTTGATGCTACTCTCTGCTGGTGATGTGTCACCTATGAATAATTCTATTTTATATGCAATTCAGTATGAAATAAAAATAAATTGTATCCTCATACTGCAAAACTGAAAATAAAACTTTAGGGCATATAAAAATTACTTTTGATCTCACATACAAAGTTGAAATCTGAAAAAACAAATTTGATTATTGCACAATTAAGCTAAATGCATAATTATATGTATGTATGTATATATATATATATATATATATATATATATATATATATATATATATATATACCGTACATCCTCGATTAACCGGACTAATTGTTGTCAATAGGCATCCAGATAATCAAAAATCTGGATAATCCAATGTAGGAAGAATAATGATGTGTATTTATTAAAAATAACAAATACATACATAAATATTAACAAAAATTAATGTTTAAGAAGAAATTAACATTTCCTTATGTATGAACATATATATATTCTTAGATTATATTACATACATATACCAAACGGTTCTGTCGCGGTTGGTAGTCCGGATAATCGCAAATTAGTATACCTGAGGTCCGGATAATCGAGGTACTACTGTATATATACATATATATATATATATATATATATATATATATATATATCTTTAATAACTTGAATTTCAATTTAGAGAATATTGTGCTATATTTAACATTTAGATAAAATTCCTAGTTTAAAATTGATATATACCCTGTAAGTTGCATTAAATTAACAAATACTACTGCTGATTTTTAAAAATTATTTAAAAACAGCCAACACCACTTTACATTGGTTTGTTATATATTTCTGTATACTGAATACCGCTAGTCAAACACATATAAAAGAAACCTAATATACCATTTTTACATTCAGCTTGTTGATTAGGCATAGTCTGCTGTGGTTCAACCATATGATTTGGACCCAACATCATCTGATTCTGATTCATAGCCTCAATTTCTGATTGAGAAATTATCTTGACATTTGGTCCTTCAGGTTTTGTCCATGTTGTTTCTCTGGTACAAGCATTATAAAAATAGAATTTACCATCATCTGACTTCGTTTCTACCCACAACTCTAACATCTGAAAGTAACATATAAACAATTACATTAGTATTGAGATTGTCTCAAATGATTATAAAAATCTAATGATTATATGAAGATAAACCATTTTTATATTACCATTTAATACATAAAAGTTCACGTAAAACGTCTTTAATTTGAGACTTACCATGGGCGGTGGTCCTATTCCTGGTGGTCCAAAAGGACTATTGTTATTGGGACCCATCATCTGTGAAGGTGGTCCCATGCCCATTGGTCCACTCATTATACCTGGGGGTCCAAAAGGAGGGCCACCTGGTCCATTAGGTCCTCCTGGACCCATCATTCCCGGAGGGCCTAAAGGTCCCCAAGCTGGTCCATCAAAATTTGGTGGGCCGTTTGCCATGCCATTTGGTCCATTTGGACCAAATGGTGGTCTACCACCGCGACCACGAAAAAATAATGGAGGTGGACCACCTCGTCCTCCTCTCATTGGTGGTCCGGTAGGACCATATCCCCTTCCTCGAAAGCGAGATATAGCTAATGGTCCCCAATTTGGAATAGCTCCTCCTCTGCCACCACTAAAAAATTTATCAATTCTCAATTAGTTCCATTGAATTTATAAACATTCAGTAAAATGAAATTAGGATTACTTCTTAATTTTCATTAGCAACTGATTGCAATATTACTTATATGTTGATAATACGAAAATGATTGCAGACTATATATAGTATAATATTGTGAGCTACATTTTTAGTATAATATATAATTTCCTGATAGGAAAATCTCTAACATCACTTCCAATTCTAAGTATGCTTGAAATACCATAGACTATCACGGCATAAATGTTTAGATACGCATATAATATTAGTTGTATAAAACACATACAAGTTCTGTCATTACTATGGAGATTAGATAAATTCTATGCAAAATTTAAAAAATATATACCCAAGTTGACAACAATTAGTCCGGTTAATTGAGGTTCTACTGTATTTTCAAATAAAGCACTTGAAAAAATACATTTCATATTCATCAAATGTTCGAGAAATTTTACAGAGTGATTAATCAATTTGGGACCTTTGGATAACATTTAATTAAAAGGCTAATATACGATAAGTAGTAAGACTTGCAACAGTTTCATATACATATGATGATTATCTCAATAAGTTAAAATACCTGCAATAAACTAAGTAGTGTAGCAAAGGCAAGAATAACTTAGCAATATCAAATTGAAAGTCGAAAATACAACAAGTACCACATTCAATAAGCAGGGTAAAGTCTCAATACAAAATTTTGTGTAAACATAATAAAGAATTGATAACAATGAAAACTATACTAATGGCCATAAAAATAAAATTAAGCTGTTCATTTCTATATAAAGATGAGTTATTTTTATTCTAATATAAAGATATATTAAAAAAATTGAAACAATTTTTTTTAATATCTAAAAAAACAATTATACATAGACTTCAATAGTGGACTAGCACTATTTGTAAATATTGAGAATGTAATAAAAATAATGAAAATAAGTAGTTACATGGATATACAACAAATGCATAAACAAGAAAAATATGTATGAAATATTTTAGAATGAGCATCAAATTTATTGATAAAATAATATAGATTGTATCCTAGCAGCTAATCAATTTTCTCCAAATACATACCGAAAAGCTCCAGGACGCCCGAAACGAGCTTGCATTTCGTCGACATCGCCTTGTTCATCACCATCAAAATAAACATCATCGTGCTCCTCTTGAGCCATGCCCACGGCTTTGTTATCTTCAACATCCATTTTATTGTTTAGATTTATATTGCACTTATTTTCTACGAAGTTTACTTTATTTTGGTACAGTTTATTCCAATCACACAGAATCAAACAAAACACAACCTACACGCATTGCAATGTTCATTGCTTTACTAACTAGTAGCGCTGATCGCCCATAGACGATTTTGTTTTTATCAGAAGTGAGAGTGACACACGCAAAGTAAATGCGATGTGCACAGTACAAACTATTATGGGATCATATGGGATCGCTAGCAGAGATATAAACCTCATCAGAATTAAATAGTCATTATCATAGATAAACAAGTATAATTATTCATTATATAATAATATTAACTATTTAATAGTCATTAAATAGTTAGTTTGTTTTGTGTCTAGCCATATCTAGCCTTGTCAAAAAACTATTTAAAGAAAATTAATAATTGATATTTCATGTCATAATAATATTAACTATTTAATAGTCATTAAATAGTTAGTTTGTTTTGTGTCTAGCCATATCTAGCCTTGTCAAAAAACTATTTAAAGAAAATTAATAATTGATATTTCATGTCAATAATTCTACATTTTACCACATTTTACTGTTAAGAATTTACACTGAAGAGGAAAAATACTTTATTTATCTATTAAAAAAATTTATCTATGGGAAATACCTTGCAAGATCAAAAAACATTAATTAATTTTATTATTGTTGATATTCAATGTACATACATATGCATGTAAATACATATATGTGTTTATAGATTTATTTCAAATATATCTTTTGTTGGCAAAATATATGAAATGAGTTAATAATTATAAATATTTCTGCTAAAACTCAAGCATCAATAAGTTTAAAAAAATAAAAAAATTAAATATAAGCTGACAGGATTCGAACTCAATCATTTTTAACTCTATTATCTATTATCTATGAATGCAGAAACAAGGAACAAGCGCCTTAACCGATACGGGACTTATCATAGATAAATAAAAATGGGACTTATTGATAGGAAACACCATAGATAAATAATATAGACTACACGCGGTCTATTTTTCGCAACTTTAATTAATTAAACGCAATAATTAAACGCTTTTATCTATGGTTCCATCGTCCCATCTTATTATTCATTCCAATTCATTCCATAATAATAATCATTATCTATCCATTTATGTTTACTTATCTATGTATGTATCTATCCTTTTACCCTTGTCTCTTTATAGCTCTCGACACTTAAGCATTATGCTGCGTCCCCACTGCACGAATCCGTGCGGCGAATCCTGTTCGCGACGCACGCATGCGTTGGCTCTTGTGCGCGACGCACACTGCGAGCAATTTGATACATTTGAAATTTTTAGGATTCCATAATATTTTTTTTCTTGATACAGTTCAATTATAAGAAGTGTAAAGAAGTATAACATCTTCTCTACGCATATTCATTTTCAAAATTGAGGATTCGATGAAATATCTTAATGCCTTCACTGTACAATTGAACTTATACCGTAGCACAGATCAACGTTTACGTACAAGTTCAAAGAAATAACGTATACGAATACAGAGGCAGGCTGACCAACAATTATCAGTTTTGAATAAAAATTATTACTTCTGTTCTAAATATAAATACTTGTCAGAAAAGACTTTGAGCAAAAATTCAGTCTGCATATTAATAAGATTTTAAATGATATTTAGCGTAATTGCAAATAATACAATATTACCATTTTTTTTGAAACATTTAATTTATTTTGAATAATAAATATATGATACGTCATATAAGTAGTAAGAGTATATATATATATATATATATATATATATATATACATGATAATATCATGATGATATAAAATTAACTCTGAAATATGATAAATAAAGTCTACCAAAATATATTTTAGTTGGATATACATATATTTCAACATATCTATAACTTAATTACCGATGTATTTCCTATACTAATAGTTAGATAAAATTATAATTAGTACATCAATTTTAATGACTGCTTACTTATTTACATTTTTGATCCGCGCTTTGACGCTAATCCATTAGTGTCGGTTCGGGTATTCTCGGCAGCCCGATGCGTCGGGTTGCTCGCGGCGGGAGCGAGCGCCGCGAACGCAAGCTATTGAAATTTTCGTGTCGCTTCGACCATGTTCGGCAGGGTACGTAATTCTAAAAATAACCCCCCCTCCCATTTTCAAACAAAAAAAGAAGAAAAAAGTGCGCTATGGACATGCGCAGTGGACAAATTTAAAGGGAATTCGTGCGTTCGCACAGTATCACTCCGCTGCGCAAATTTGTTCGTGACGCACCATTCGCCGCACGGATTCGTAACAGTGGAGACGCGGCATAAGATTTGGTTTTCAAATATTTCTACATACAATGTACATATTTAGTACATTATTGTTAGGCATTGTAAGAAAAAGTTGGTGTTTCGTTTAAAAATTAATAATTGAAATTTGACAATGTATTAGTTATATACTTTTACTGTTTTTACTGGGCACTTCAAAATGTTATTTTAAATATATGTACTGCAAATAATTCGAATAAAAAAATAAAAATTGTTGTAGTTATTTTGCGCGCCGCGTTGAGAAATCGGCTTTCGAGTTTTGAAATAAATTATAAATAAGAAAAAATGAAAAAAATGTCAGTTTATTTTCTCTATTCTATTAGGGTAGTTATAGTAATGGGCCGAAAATCGAAAATGAAATTTTTTGTATTTCTCGACGTTTTGAAGGTTTCTAAACATTTTGGCATACCTCAGAAAAAATGGATGTGTGTGTGTGTTTTATGTCAAAAACTTTCTGCTTGTGTTGACAAAACAATTGCTTTTGGAAAAAAATTAATTTTATTTTATTTTGTATATCGAAAATAATTCAGATTTCAATTTATATACCAACTTTCAATTTATATATTAACTATATGCTTTAAATAAATATTTTTGACTTTGTGATTCAGTTTATATAATTCTTTAAATATTATACAATATTACAGTATTTATAATAATCTATTTGAAAACATTTAATATTCCTCGAACTTTTCGTTACAGTACTTGCCTTAAGGCACGATGCCATACATCTTAAATACACCTGACATACACCACTCGTTTTTAATGTATTTGAGCGGTGCCGATTCGGAGAAGTGCGACGCGCATGGGAAAAAGCTTATAATTACAAATTAAAAGAAAAGTTTTAGGTATGAAATATTTTTCCTCATATTATGAAAGGCTCAAAGTATTTTTTAAGTCTAAAATATTTTTTCGGTTTTTCGAAAAATTTACAGTGGTGTAATTCCTTATGGGCCGTTCAAGTATTACGTAAGCACTTTAGGGGGGCCTGGGGTTATTGATTTGCTTATTTTGGTGACATGGGGGGCAGGGGAGTCTAGATGATGATTTCGTCATAGGTAGTATTTTTATTTTTTTACCGAATGGCAACCTTACATTGTCTTTGCTTGAAATCGAAACGCATTTTCGGGGATTTCCGCAAATTATCACAAAATCGGATGAAAGTGAGTTAGTGAGCAGACTTACAACCATGAGCAGCAATCCAATGTTATCGAAAACTTAGAATCATGGATTCGGGTTTCATGGACTGAAGACTGTTAATTTGAATTTAGTATGTGCACCAAAAATTTAAAATAAGTTTCTTATGTTCGTAAGATTATAATAATTTTGTTACTCTATGTTTAATACCATATCAGTAAAATCTCTACACCTAAATCTATTTTCTTATTTTTAAAATTATAATTATAACCTAATAATTATAATATTTAAAAAAAACAATACATTAATTGCAAAATGTTTACGTAAGCATGGGGGTAGGGGGTAAGAGCTTTGCTTACTTTTGCTGACAAAGGGGTTGGGGGGGGGGGGTAGGTAAATAATTGTAATAAATCTGCTTACGTAATACTTGAACGATCCCTTAAAGCAGTTTTACATTTAACATCATTTATATTGATGTATATACAATTCGGTTTAAATAGTAATTTAAAAAACAATAAATATTATTTTCAACTAAACGGTAAATATCAGTACAAGATATTAAAAATAATTAGAAATTTTGAATTGTAGATGTGGGTACCGGACAACGTCTGTTGGGTTAGCTAGTATATATATATATATATATATATATATATATATATATTAGTATGTGCCAAGTCGAATCAAGTGACTCGAATCATTCGAATCAAGCCTTTAACGACTTGATTCGAATCAGTAGGTTTTACTTGATTCGAATCCACTCGTATCTAGCTGCGAAATATTTACTGTGAAAAAACATGTATGAACTTAAATATAATAATAATAATATAATAAATTAATTTGAAGATATGTTTCAACCGTTCTCAAAATTATAACATTTTTAATCATTTTCAGAATATACTTTTCGATAGTAATTTATGTTTACAATTTCTACTTTGTCGGTTATATTGGTTAAACTAACAATTTTGATTATAAGTTTGGATCACTTTTACTAAATAAATACATCCATGATTTTTTTGGTCCATATATATACTTGATTCGAATCATGATTCGAATTTGGCTGGAAAACCTTAAGTGGCTATCTTTAGAGCCATCCAGCATTTGAATGCAAATAAATATTTTGTTTCTCGTACCATATCTCGTAATAGTGATACACTCAGTGTTGCACCGCATCCAAGAAGTGGATGAAAAAAAACACTAGCAACACCAGAAATGATCCAAAAAGTATAGGCAAAAATCGATCGAAATTCGGGTCAATGTGGGTCAAAAAAATAGCTCGTGAGCTGAACATATTGCAAAAACGGATGCAACACATATTGAAAAATGTACTTGGACTAAAGCCATTGTAGTTCCAAAAAGTGCAAGAGCTCATCGATGCACAAAAAAAGTTAGACGGGAAGGAGCAAAAGGTTGCCTCGCTTGCACGAAAGTGGCTAGTTACCGAATTTGGTTTTCTCAGATGGAAAATCATTCTAAATCGAGCAGTTTGTAAACAAACAAAATGATCGGGTTTACTTGCCAAAAAGGTCAGCTAAAAATTTACACCTTCGATTCCGGCCACCAGAACTCAAGCGCCGCCGACGGTAGTGGTGTGAACCACCGTAACGGCCGATGGTGACATTCCGCTCTTATTCATCGACCGTGGAATCAAAATAATTGCCGAAATTATCGGGAAAATGTCTTAATGGCAGTTTTGAAGTCCTTGGTAGACAAAGATTTCGGCCGCAGACCATGGACAATCCAACAGG